GTCCCCGCAGACCAAGTCCCTCTGGCCGTGGCCGTGTCGCAGCTGCGGGAGGACGCGGGCAGCGGCCCCGCTCCGCTGGTGCGGAACCGGCCGGTGGCGTTCGCGGTGCGGCTGCACGACCCGAGCCGGTACCTCCGCCACGCCGACGTGTCCTACTCGTGGGACTTCGGCGACGACAGCGGGACCCTGATCACGCGCAGCGCCACCGTCACCCACACCTACCGGGACACCGGCAGCTTCTCGGCCCGCCTGGTGCTCCAGGCCGCCATCCCGCTCAGCCCCTGCGGCCCCACGACCGCGCCCGGTCCCACCGGGGCTCCCACCGGGGCTCCCAGCGCGGCTCCCACCGGGGCCACCAGCCCGGCCGGGGGACAGAGCACGGCGGCCCCGGTGGCCAGCACGGGTAAGGGGGACGGGGGGTGGCATCGCCCGCTGCGGGGGTCCCGGTGTTCCCGGTGCTCCGTGGGGTGTGGTCACAGTGTCCGCCGTGCCACGGGGGGTGTCACCAGTGTCCCCTCAGCCCCCAGAGCCACCCCACCCCATGGAGTGTGTCACCAGTGTCCCCTCACCCCATAATGTGTGTCCCCAATGTCCCCTCAGCCCCCAGAGCCACCCCACCTCATGGAGTGTGTCCCCAGTGTCCCCTCAGCCCCCCAGAGCCACCCCACCTCATGGAGTGTGTCCCCAGTGTCCCCTCAGCCCCACAGAGCCACCCCACCTCATGGAGTGTGTCCCCAATGTCCCTCCATCCCTCAAAGCCACCCCATGGGGTGTGTCCCCAATGTCCCCTCAACCCCCCAGAGCCACCCCACCTCATGGGGTGTGTCCCCAATGTCCCCTCACCCCATAATGTGTGTCCCCAATGTCCCTCCATCCCTCAAAGCCACCCCATGGGGTGTGTCCCCAATGTCCCCTCACCCCACAGAGCCACCCCACCCCATGGAGTGTGTCACCAGTGTCTCCTCACCCCATAATGTGTGTCCCCAATGTCCCCTCAGCCCCCAGAGCCACCCCACCCCATAGGGTGTGTCCCAAATGTCCCCTCACCCCACAGTGTGTGTCCCCAATGTCCCCTCACCCCACAGAGCCACCCCACCCCTCGGTGTGTGTCCCCAGTGCCACCAGGTGACATGGAGCACCCCCGACACTGGAGCTGGGGGGGTCCCGGGTGGTCCCAAACCAGAGGTGACCCCAAACCCTGCTCTGGGGGGGTCCCGGTGTGGCCCCAACCCGGACTTTGGGGGGGTCCCAAACCAGAGATGACCCCAAACCCTGCTCTGGGGGGTCCCGGTGTGACCCCAACCCCACTTTTCCCGCAGCCCCCGCAGCCTCCGGGGAGCCCGCGGAGCCCACGGGGGGCTCGGCGGCGGAACCCTCGGACCCCGCTGTCACCGACCCCGCTGTCCCCGCCGCCACCGAGCCCTCTGCCGCCGCTGTCACCGAGCTCTCGGTCCCCTCCGCCGCCGCCCCCGCTGCCAGCACCGCGGCTGTCGCCTCCTCCGTGTCCCCCGCTGCCGCCACCGCGGCCGGGGACATCTCTGTCACCGCCGTCCCCGCGGAGGGGACAGCGGCTGCAGGTGGGTGCTGGCCCGGGGGTGGCGACAGCGGGGAGGGGACGTGTCGGGGGTGTCCCCAAGAGCTCACTGTCCCCAACAGCTCCCTGTCCCCAAGGGCTCGTTGTCCCCAAGGTCGCTGTCCCCTTGTCCT